CCTCTTCTGACCTCCCACAGTCGTACTCATTTATACAATAATAATATTAATAATACCCTCACTGCTGTTAAAGTTCAGGTGCACGACTTTGCTCTTTGCCGATGAACACTTCCCTATGAAACGTCTTAATTCAAAACTCACCGTACTATCACCTCCTCTTCCTCTGCCCTCTAAACCTCTACCCTTCACACCCTCCCTTCTGGAAAACAAACATCAATCTGACGTCAACTCCCAACTCTTTTCCAAGGCCTCTCCACGCACACATCCCATATTCGTAAGAACATTCATTATCCATTCACGATTGTCCATTCATCTGAGCCCCTCCCTCCAATCACTGTGTCCTGCACTCTTTCTACAGCCCCCTCTTCTTTCGCATAACCCTATCTCAACCATCTCCCTCGTCTCTCCACACCACTCGGACCACCACGACCTCTCTCCACACCCAGCATGAGTCCACTCGGCCGCTCTCATCACGACCCTTTCCATCGGTGCCGTTGCCATATTCATTCTCTCCTCCTCTTTGCTCTCTTCCTGACAGTCCTGACGTCACCGCTCTTTCTGACTTTGACCTGCAACTTTCCGACACCACAGTCAACAAAATAGGGCTTGGTCTCTGCATGTTACAGGGACCACGTTCGCGGTGTCATACAGGAGCAACTTCAATTCCTCAGTCTGTAGTTCCTTGTCTATCTCTTGTATATTCTACACAAGGAATGAACGACTAAGGGTTCTAGAGACATATCCAGACTCAGAAGGATGTTTGGCTTCAGCTCTAAGGCATGGTGGTAATGGTGCAGATGTGCTGTTTGTGTGAGCTGTGCAGTTTGCGATGCGGCTCGGTCAAGTTGCTGCATCTTCTATGCGGTTTTTAAATAGTCTACACTTGATGATACTTTTGCACGAATTCCTAAATGAGGACGATGCAACGAAGGCAACCACGGGGTCGAAGAGGCTGTTGAGAAGGCTGAGGCCCAGTGCAATGTCTCGCAGCAGAGCCAAGCTCTCCCAGGACATGCTGTTGTATCTACTCTCGATGAAGCCGATGATATGGACACGTTGTAGGCGGTGAAACACACGAAGAAGTTGCTGATAACCAAGACGGTCAGCTTGATGGCGCGGATCTTCTTGTCGCGTTTCATCACCTCGACCCGATCGTCGACTTTGAACAGAGATTTGATGACATTGATGTACGAGAAGAGCATGGCGACTAGCGAGGGGAGGTAGAGGGAGAAAAAACAAGTAGAGTCTGTAAACGGTCAAGAAGTCCATGTCACTGGTTGAGAACTTCTCGTAGCACTTGATGGTGGGGGAGCACTGCCGTTGGTGGCGTTGACCATCACGGTGAACGTGACGGAGTTGATGGGCGCGATCTCGGCGATGGTGATGACCCAGATGACGGCGCACACGATCCACGCCGTCCTGGGCTCCCGCCAGCGCGACATCTCCAGCGGGTGCACCACGGCCTTGTAGCGGTCGATGCTGATCGCCGCCAGGATCATGATGCTGGCGTAGATGTTGGTGAAGAATATCAGGTTGCTGACGCGACAGAGAAATATGGGGAAAATCCAGTTGTTTCCGTTGAAGGTGTAGCCGATTTTCATCGGAACGACGGCCAAGTAAAATAGGTCTGCGATGGCGAGGTTCAGCGCGTAAATGGACATGGAGTTTTTTTTGGTGCGTCCCAGTACCCAGCACACCATGACGTTGAGGGGAAGCCCTGCGAGAAACGCCACTAAATAAATTGGGAATACAAAGCAATATTTCACCAACTCCTGAGGATTCATTTTTCAAAAGCCAAAGGAAACCTGAAAAAAAGGAAATTAAGCAAATTTTACGATAAAAAAAACGAATTAAAATAAAACAATTTGTGTATACAACAGTGCACGTACATAAGTGAGACCATGTGATCCATGACTTCACTCCCTCCACAATTTCAAGATCCCACTCACTGCTTTCAAGATCTTCCATAATCACCCCTGCCTCCCTCTCTTCTCTCATCTCACTCTACTCTCCTTCACGCATTCTCCTACTTGTCCCTTCTCATCTCACTCTACCCCCCCTCCCACCATCTCCTCCCTATCCCATCATCTCATCTCACTCTACTCCCCTCCACACATTCTCCTACCTCTCCCCTCTCATCTCACTCGACTCCCCTCCATGCACTCTCCTACCTCTCCCCTCGCTCTACTCCCCTCCACACACTCTGTCTTCCAGCAACCAAGACTTAATTTCTTTCTTCCAGGCAGCCTTCGCTCAGTGGAAGGTCGCTCATTCTCCTTTTCTGCGCCCACGGCCTTGAACTCATTTCCTTACTGACCGTGTGCGGAACGCTCTGTGGGTGCTGATGGAGCCACACGTTCCGCAGTCGATCCACACACACGAGTTCTGCTGGTAGCGACGTCCCTTCCCACGTGGGATATTATTCTAAACAAATTAAATTATGTTTAATGAACATTGGCATTTACACGTTTAATTAATCAATTAGTATTTTTATTGGACATTTATGTTGGCAAAAAAACTGACTGAAAGGTATTCATCAGAGTACCACGTACTTTCGAGACTGTCCGACTCGTTTACAGAGCGAACTGCAGATCTGCCAACCCACTGATTATAGTAAAATCTCGCAGATCGTTCTATGCTCTGCGCACCAACGAGTCGTCTCGCGACCTCCGTGCTCTGTGGCGCGTTGTGCGGGGTCTGCTGCACACCAACCACCCATCAACTAGTCAACGAGGTCTGTGCACAGTATATGCGATGTACTTCGCCAACAATATTCTTAGGTTTTTTCGTTAAAGTCACGTAGGTAAAAAAAAAATTAATAAAAGTAAAATAAAATAAAAATCACGACGTTTCGAAGGCAACACAAGCTTCCGTCTTCAGGTGGAACCGTCACAGCCACGACAGCTGTATCAAGTAAATGATAGAGCTGTACGGCACACAGTGTGCCGTACTTGGCCCTTCCCCTCTTCAACCATTATATATACGGAGTGGTAGCTCTTGTAATCTCTCATTTACTTGATACAGCTGTCGTGGCTGTGACGGTTCCACCTGAAGACGGAAGCTTGTGTTGCCTCCGAAACGTCGTGATTTTTATTTTATTTAACTTTTATTAATTTTTATTTTTTTTACCTACGTGACTTTACCGAAAAAACCTAAGAATATGAATCCTTGCAGTCACGAAAGCTTCAAATCTAGAATCTTCGCCAACAAAATAGTGACGATCAAGACGTTTCTAACATGAAGGCAACGCATTCTCCTGGTCTGCCATCTGTGTTGGATCAACGTGGGAACAATGCAAAACTCGAGACCCATCGGTGGTAGAGGTGTCCATGTTCATTGCACCGCTGCCGAATAAGACATCGCCACTTGACTACATCCACAAGTCGATTCTCAAATCATGCTTGGACGTTTCTTGTGGCGCTGATTGTCCACCTGGCATGTATTTCATTCAGTGAGGGCCGTTTCCCAGACCGGTTCAAAATGGCGCGGGTTACAGCGCTCCTAAAAAAAGTTTGCTTGAGCCATAGTGACCCCACAACTATCCCCTGATCTCAGAATTGAGTACCATTTTAAATGTCATAGTCTTCAAACATTTCGGTTACAAATACCATCCTGAGCTCCTGGAAGAATCACGTGGCCTCCTCGTTCACCCTGTGGCATAACTCCCTACTCGCCCTAGCAGCCTTAGAACATCTGCGTCGTAAACTGAGGAATAGGGAAGGGGAATCCACCGAGATCTGAGGGGCCCTCGTGAGAAGTGCCGCGTCCAGGCACTTCAAACCAACCCGCGTGGTACAGCATCAGCCCAATGCCAATGTGCATGTTGTAACATTTCTCTAAACATTCAAACCCTGACTAACACGTAGAGTCAGCCTGCTCATTGTCAGTAGACAATTCTAGCTCCAATTATTAACGCTGATTGCCAAATATTTTATTTTATTATGCGGACATTGCTGCTGCTTGCTGCTGCGATGATACATTTCCTGGCGTGTTTTTGTGCAGGAATAAAATGTCCCACCGAAATGGAGCTGTTTTGGGTCTTTCTGCTGTGAAAACAGAGCAGGCGACTCGGAGCGCGGCATTTATCACCACCACCACCGCCTCCACCTCGCGGACACCCACCGCTTGTCATCGCTGCCATTTTGCCGGCAGCGATGACTGCGTTAATACAACAGAGCGGGAGACCCTGCCAGGTGAACAACCTGCACACAGCACACACCGTGGGACGCACCACAGAGTGGATAACACGTGGTGTATGAACGAGAGTGTGGGACACACCACAGGGTGGGACATACCACAGGGTGGGACATACGTGGTGTATGAACGACAGTGTGGGACACACCACAGTGTGGGACACACCACAGTGTGGGACGCACCACAGGGTGGGACACACCACAGGGTGGGACGCACCACAGGGTGGGACGCACCACAGTGTGGGACACACCACAGGGTGGGACACACCACAGTGTGGGACACACCACAGGGTGGGACGCACCACAGGGTGGGACGCACCACAGGGTGGGACGCACCACAGGGTGGGACACACCACAGTGTGGGACACACCACAGGGTGGGACACACCACAGTGTGGGACACACCACAGGGTGGGACACACCACAGTGTGGGACACACCACAGGGTGGGACACACCACAGGGTGGGACGCACCACAGTGTGGGACACACCACAGGGTGGGACACACCACAGGGTGGGACGCACCACAGGGTGGGACACACCACAGGGTGGGACACACCACAGTGTGGGACACACCACAGGGTGGGACACACCACAGGGTGGGACACACCACAGGGTGGGACGCACCACAGGGTGGGACGCACCACAGTGTGGGACGCACCACAGTGTGGGACGCACCACAGAGTGGGACACACCACAGGGTGGGACACACCACAGGGTGGGACACACCACAGGGTGGGACACACCACAGTGTGGGACACACCACAGGGTGGGACACACCACAGTGTGGGACACACCACAGTGTGGGACACACCACAGTGTGGGACACACCACAGGGTGGGACGCACCACAGAGTGGGACATACGTGGTGTATGAACGACAGTGTGTGACACGCAGGGTGTGTGACCCACAATGTACACACCACACAGTGAGGTATAGATCACAGAGTACAGACCACCGTATGATGTTGTATAGAAGGCGGTGTGTGTGTATATCACTGTGTTGTTGTTTATTCATTTCCCTGCGCCCTTCCATTAATCATCATGTCGAGGCTGCCCCTTCGTGAGCTGCAGATCTGCCCTCGCAGTGCCACGGTCGTTGCCTGCTGCTGCTGCCTGGAAGTCGGCGTCATCAGCAGACTGGCTGAAGAAGCGAGGAGCACGTGTGGCTCGCACACCCAGAGCGGCTTCTCCTCACTGAGATGCGCTCCCGTGCGAGTCCGAGAGCCGTCGCATGCTCACGCCAGCTCACATAGTTCACCCCAACTCGGTGTTAGTCACTTTTAAATTACCGCACATTTATTAGAATTTTTAATTGCAATCCTAACCATGTTTTTTCATGCAAGTATCGAAATAACTTTATACGTAGACTTTCACGAACAATATTATGATTCCTAATTCGTATTTTTGGGTTAGATCATCGTGTAGGTATAATGTAAATATTCAACTCTACCCTCCGCCAATTGTAACAAAGAAAATCCTTTGGCTTTTCAACATTTCTCCGGTTTGCTGACAAACCAAATCAAGTGGCACATTTACCCACGCGACAACTTGATTTCACTTACTATGTCGGGTGGTGGAGCGTGCAGCTAAAATTTGGCATTACAACTCCACGACCTAGTCCAAAAGAAAGGAAATATGTATTCAATAAAACAGATGTGCACTGTAAAAAAAAAATACTTTATCAGTAACGCTGGTGCGCACTTAATCAGGTTTCACATTTTGACTTAAAACTTTCGTGATTGCTTCTTTCGGCAAAGTCACGTAGATAGAAAAATAATTTAAAAAATAAGTGAATAAAAAATAAGTTTGGTTAGTGTAAGAACCAGGCTACAGTCTACATTATAGACTGACAGTACGCTCACCGAGGTTAAGAACCAGGCTAGAGTCTATATTATAGACTGCCAGTACACTCACCAAACTTAATAACCAGGCTACAGTCCACATTAGTGTTTATTTTTTTTATTCACCTTTTATATTTGTATTGTTTTATCTACGTGACTTGACCGAAATAACCCAAGAATACAGGTTCACATATCACGCTTGTTTCAGAGATATTTGTAAAATAAACGCCAACATTGTAATCTTGATTTGAAGCTTTCGTGACTGCAGGAATCCATACTCTTTGGTTCTTTCGGTAAAGTCACGTAGGTAGAAAATAAAATAAATCACGACGTTTCGATCGCAACACAAGCGGTCATCCTCAGGCGGAAAAAATATAATCCAGCAGTGGAACTTCTGATCCAACATTGTAGTGGAGCACTGAGAAAACAAAACCCCGTTGCCTCGGCTGGACACCCAAACGGGAAGTAAATAGCTGAGGGATAAATATCGCCTGGCCATCCACGGGATGAAAATAATCAGCTGCGTGTTTACATTCATATCAGCTTATAATAAAGGCATGTTAGAGGGCCGCAACTGGGCACCTGCTCACTGCATTGTGTTTGCAGTAGGAAATAATGAAGTGTAAACACTTACCCTTGACTTCATTTACCAATGAGTCCTGCAAACTTCGTTCTCTCCGTGTGTGTGGAATCGCAGTGGGTGGCCCTGTGCGAGTTCCTCTCTCAAACCCTCGCTCTACTTATACCGACGGGGGAGGAACCTTCAACTGCTGTGGCCCCGAAGTGTTTGAACTGCACTAATTGCTGAACTTTGGCGGTAGCAGCTTAAAGGTTGACGGAGCCATTACGCAGACGGTACGTACGCGTGCGCCTGTGTGTCACAGTATGTCCGCACGCAGAGTTCAGCCATTGCACCTGTCCACAGTGTTCTGCCCCTCGAATAAATACATACAAATCATCATCCATTCTTGTCCGATGCTGACCGATGGAAATTCTTTGCCACAGCATACTCCGTCAGACGGCAATAAAAATGGTCGATCCTGGAAGCCAAGTTAAGATGTACTTGTCTGTGTGTGACTTAGATCAAGTTTGTACAATATTATACAATCATGTACAATCATCCAATCAGCTGTAATCACACGTGACACGCTGGAGAGGGAGCAGTCACGCGAGTGATCACTCAATTGAGATGCCCCCCACACCTGCGGGATGGTCACGTGGGGGGCTCCCATGGCCGCCCTGATGTTTGCGTCGTCTCCTTGCGCTCTCGCGTCGTCTCCTCGTGTGTCGCAGACTTCCCACTCCCTACCAACGCGTGCAGTGGCTGCGACACAGCTCACCAGCAGCGCTATGCCATCCACGCGACACACCGCCACGTCAGTGACACCGTGACCTCCGTGCGTAAAGGTCACCACCAGTGCCTCTAACGCCACGAGCTGCCCGGCCACGGCCGGGACGGCTGGCTCCGTGTGGCATCACGCATCGGAGCACTGCAAGGGCACGATCGTTTAAAACGGTTGTGGTCTTCGGCTAAGGATTTTACCGAACACCTCAACACACCAGCACCTTGCACGTGGCATTTCCAGAATTTCTTATGAAGACTTATATTTGCATGTACAACCTGACTATTTAAATAAGTGTTTGTTATTTCGACTTCAGTTTAGCAAGATATTTCCTTCCGATGCCTCATTCTGCCATGCAAGTGTTCTGTGTGAGGGTTACACGCTCTCTCCGATCCACGCATTCACGTCAACTCGCCGAGCTTTTAGATGATCCATTGTCCTCATTCCCGTTGTTGTCATTTTACATCATTACCCAAAAACAGGAATGTATTTTCCCGACATTTCATCCTGCGCTGTGCAAACGGAGCACAGGGACGTGGCATTATTCATGTGTACGGTGGCCTCCCGCACTAGAATGATTCCCTGCACTGGGTTGACAGCCATGTGTTTGTTGTGCCATGATATATCGCGATCTAAATGACCGCTCAGAAATAATAACGCGTGCGACAGACAATGCGTGCGAGTCGTTTCGCAGAGACAACAGCAGCAGCTGATCGCGGCTTTGGCGTGGGTTTCTAAGACGCCGCCTCCGCCATACGCAAGGGAACATGAGATCTCTGAACTCGTCCAGTGCAGCTTTGTTTTGATGCTGCACGTAGGGTCCAATTTGATCGTGTTTAGCACGACCCAAAATGTAGGTTCTAAAATAACTGTGAACATTCGTACGAAGGAATACACGATGGGAACATGGCAGAGCCTCTCCAATATTTTGAGGGCCACTTTGTAATAAGTGTACGGAATTCATGCGCGAGACACTCGCATCCTCTGCAACACAGCCAGCACCGTGTATGTGGAATGATAAACTTGTCCGATGTCAATTCGTGGGAAACATATTAATGAGAAACATTCATCCACTGGCCATAACCTGATTGTCAGAGTATTTCCTTTCGTTAAACGAACCTGCTTCCCTATTTATCTATTTAAATGCAATTCGATAATTGTTTTTTTACCCTTCTATCTGGCAACAAAACTGACACCTTTTTACAAGGAGTCATGTTTGCATAGACCGCAATACCTGCAGTCATAATACAAACAAAAGAACATAACTCTGATAATGTGCACTGTCCTTGAAGTTGATTGGTCCACACCCGAGACAGCTTTCCTTAGAGCCTAGTCTCACATGGGTTGGACCAGATGACGCCAAAAGGCGCACAACTCAAAGACAACTCCTTGTAAAAAGGTGTCAGTTTTTGTTGCCAGATAGAAGGGTAAAAAACCAATTATCATATTTTTACTGGCAAATGAGGTTCCCATAGTGTAAATGCAATTCATTCACTATTCTTGAATATGGCAACGTGTTCAGGAGCTATATGGCAATGCCGAGGTCTGCTGGCCACGATGAAGGCTTCAGGAAGAGAGTTCGTGTCTTTTTGCTTCTCCTATGAAGGGGCGTTCGCCCCAACGGTCACGCGTTATTTTCGCGTCACCTTACACACAAGTAACGCCGTCACCTGGGCGAAATCGACGTCATTAATGAATTCACCGTTGGGGCAAAGGGGCTTCACGTGGACAGGAGATGACCCCGGCTCACGCCTGGAGTTGGATGTCACCGGAACATTGCGTCCGCAGTCGCTTCCTCCTCACCCCTCCTCCTGCTCCTCGTGTGACCAACACTGCGATTGTTTACGTGGATGCATCGTCCGTTATGTATATTCTCGACAATGACCCGAATGATTGTTTTGTGTTTTATACGATAAAACAGAATTGGTCAAATATCCCAGTGCAGGAAACGTCGTGCGTCAGTGCCGCGACTCGGCACGAACCAGACTCGGGTTGTTCGGGTGACCCGGGCGAGGGGGGGGGCCGTGACGCACGCAGCAGCACCGTGGGGGGACAGGCAGAAGCTGGACCGCACCACGTAGAGGGAAAGCACCTCCATGGACTCGATATGCAAATCAGTGTGGATATGGCATCCCTTGTCCACACATTTGTTTTTGTTATTTTACTCGGCGCTGCCGATGTATGTTGTAGAGCGGATGGCTGTGATTGTTCCAAGGGGGTGACCACGAGCCTGATGACTGCGCCACGGGTGGCGGAGTGAGTCGCTGCGATGAGGCCGCCTCCGTGTTTGTGAACTGGGCAGATTCGTTCTGTGCTGCGTGGAGTATTCTGGATGAGCGCAGGTGCAGAATGGAGTGTTTAATTTTCCATTTGTGCATCAAGAATCCGCAGTTGCCGTGGTTTGTGCGGATACGGTTTAATATTTGTGCCCAGGGATAGTCTTCAATGCACGCGTCACAATGATAGACCTTCTGATACATTTTACAAAAGGGAACATTCACCAAGTACACACATCTTTTAAAATTACATGTCAAGAAGCTCGACATTTGTTCTACAAACTGCAAGTCGGCCACTGCTTAGGGGTGGACCTTGGATGACAACAGCGGTTGGCAGTGCGCGCTCTGTTGACGAGGCCGCGGCGTTTGCTTTGGAGGGCACGGGGAGCCAGTAGCGCCGCGCACGTGGTGGCCGCATTGAGCGCAGTGGAACGAGAGCGCCTCGCTCACCCACAGCGCCCTCTCTTGACGGTGGCCACTGGCCCCGTGGCCCCGATCCAGGCCCCGTGCTCGTGGGCTCCGTGCGGCCCCCCCCGCCCCGGGGAGCCGGGGTTCACTCGGCAGCGATGCCGCGCTGTGGTCCGCATGGCGCCGTGCGAATGGTCACCGCTGCTGTTCACCCTTCGTCTCGGTGGAGGGGTGAAGGGACGCGTGGTGGCGGTGTCGGCGCTATGCGACACCACGGCATGGCCTCAGTTGCCACAGCAACCAAACGACAGGGGATAATTATAATACTATTGATGATTTGGTGCCGTGGATCCTCGTACCTTATGCGTGTCAACATTTTAAGTGTATTCATAATGAAGGTTTTTGGGTTAGATCGCGTTATTTATAAATGTGTCGCAACCCTCCACCACTCGACACGGCCAATCGGTAAAAAAAGGTGTCACGTTGACAAAAGACAAATAGTTCACGACTTCAGCCCACCGGTGTGTTGAAGAGTGAATCCACATTTACAATTTTTGAGTACTGTGACGTTTCCCTGGTATCCAGCATCATCGGGCAATTTGCCAGAATGGTGACGCCCTCCACCTGCTCCCAGTCTTAAATAGAGCAGCAGCAGCAGGGTGACGCCATCATTTAACCCAATCAGGTGCAGAGATCAGAGGCGGAGGGGGGCTATTGTAGCTATATAATAGACTAGTAATCAGCTAATTACTCTTTGGTTCTTTCGGTAGTCACGTATAAAGAAAATACATTAAATAGAATACGTTTCGATTGCAACACAAGCAACCGTCATCCAGTAGAACTATATTGGAGACAAAACACAGACACGGAGACAGACACACAAGCAGAGAAAGACAACACAGAGACACACAACATAGACACACAGAGACCCAATGCCTCTGTCGAGGCCTTAAATAGAGAGAAGGGGGGGGGGGGGTCTGCTGGAGCAAACTCATTTCTCTCTCGCGAAGCCTACGTGTTAACTGATTTTAAGTGTAGTTTAATCAGGAAAAGTCTACGTACGTTTAAGTAGTTATCGGTATTTTGTACTTGTCTCTCACAATCTTGGAATTGCTCGTGTATCTGTGCCCCGAGTGGCTGGGTGCGGACATTCAAGGACGTCGCGGTAGCAAGACGTTAACCACCTCCTCGCCTTGTATACAGGAGGACGTGGGTTCCATCCAGACCCTTGACGACTGCTGTATATTTGGATTCTGCATGTCTCTCCCTCTCCCCGTGGTCGCGTGGATGTTCTCCATGCACACCAGTTTCCCCCTCCACATTTAGAATCAATGTGCGTTCGGAGTATTTGGCTGCTATACATTTCCACATAAGCCACTGCGCGTTGTGGCCAGGTAGCTTCTAAAAAAGAGTTGTAGAGCTCAGTGGGCCTGACCTGGATAAAAAACAATGCTTAGAGTTCATAAGAGGCGAGGCAAAGCACTCATTGCTGCTACCTTAGACACGTGCGCAATGGGCTCCGTGTATAAACCCAAAAATGATATCTAGTTCCACGACAGGGGACACGATCAGAGGAGTTCACAAGTCCCGGGCAACCTTTGCGTACTCAGCACTGCCGATTTAAATTAGCGCACGATAACGGTTGCGCATTTGCACACACCTAATATTATCAAGGTTGTCTACGTATGGTGCGAAATAAGTTCAACGTATTTACATTGGATAGCTTTCTGGAGAACATAACCCAATATGAGCCAAGCATGCTTTGAGATAACCAAGAGATTGCCCAACAGCTGTGAGATCATTGTTATTTTAGTCCACCGACGCCGTATGTACATATTTTATTGGTCCCATTTAGCCTTCCACTCATCTCTTGTATATACAGCCTCAGTAAAGTCTGCCGATTGGCTCCAGCAATGGGCAGGGCCTGCTGTTGCGCCACATTCTAGAGGGGCTTCCAGTGCAGAAAAGTGTCACCTCCTCCTCAACATAGTCCGCAGCGTACAACTGTGCAACGCCCCTTGAAACCACGACTTATCCAGACCACCATCTCAATGTTGAACTTCTTTCACACCGTACGTAGCCAACCGTGCTTAAAGGAGAAATGTCTGGCCATTGGCGTTTTTGCCACCAACTCTCGGAGCGCTGACAAATGTGGCCGCCCGAACCGGCAGCTGTGCCCACAACAGGGGCCTTCCTCGGGACTAAACGCACAACGCCGGCATAAAGGAGATGGAACATGAACTAAGGATTTCATATTTCACTTTACCATATTGTTAACTTGACTCAAAATCAGACTATCTTGACCACACTACAATTGAGGCCACTGCTATTTTATGTACATTTACTGTGAAAAGTCGGGGGGGGGAAAACATGGTAGAGTAGTATCATGATTCGGTTGAAGGCCCTCAACTCAGGAGAGGCCGAGAGCGGTGCTGTGCTGACCTTGCAGTTCAAATGCCCCTGCAGGTACATGCATCATCACAATAATTTTATTACGTTATTTAGCCATTATATTTCTCCGTGATTAAAGCTTTAGTCCTTGGGTGACTTTCTTCTGCTGCCTGTGATCAGTGTCAATTGCCAACTGTCTTGATAAATCCCCTCATGCACACAGCACCAGCCTCTCGTTCTCCACGCGAGATAGCCAATAGGTATCGGCATGCACAGGTCTCACCCAGGCTACCTTAGGAATGTACTTAATATGGAATTACACAAATGTTGAATTGCTCATTCAGCTCACTTGTGGTATTCCAAGCCACTGAATGGTGTTGGTCAGTAAGGACTTGAGAGATGGGACAACCGGTTTTCATCTAAAGTCGATGAAAAAGTTAATGTGCCATGTTAGAGATGGCTGGACGGATATAGTTGTATGCTAATGCCTGCGCACCACAGCACCAAGCCAGGAGAGCCGAATGGCTGGGTTTGAATCCCGGGCCTTGACCTGCAAGTGCGTCGGGCTGTGATAAGTGAAGCTACCAACGACTGAACATTTTTTCAGGATTTGGTTTGGCTTTTCATTCAGCGTTGCCCGTCTCAAGAGCGCTTCTGCTTCAGAGCGACACTCGACAAACCACGCGTCCGTCCGCACAGGTGCGTCCGTGCGGTCTCGAGCGAATGCGTGCATCATCGCCCGTGGGTGCCCCTCTCTCGGAGAGATCGGCGCCGTCGCCACGGCGAACGCCGGCAGGGAACCCGCGCCCGAGCGCTCGTGGGCAACGGGGCGACCGTCGGCACAAGGGTGCGTCGAAGAAAAATGCAAAAAGGTCCTTTAAACCGAAGTTTGACGTTGTTTTAAATACCAGAGATTCTCCGAGGTAAATATCAACCATCGAAACAATCTGAAAAATATCAACTAAGGACACCTCTTCGACAAACACGTCACAGTTTAGCAATGTTCAACAACATGTAACGAAACCACGGCCATACACACGTCGGGAGGTCAGCAGCATTACACACGTTCATTGTAAAAGAAATCCAAACAGAGACCATGTGTATTGTTAAGCTTTGACGGGATTAACAAATCAAAACAATATTCAGGGAAAGGACACAGGGCATTGCCAATGGCGTTTTACAAAATATGACGGCACTATTAACATCACCACATTTCCATTTTAGAAAACTAATAAGGCAAAGGCATATTCACTTATTTACCATCTTGCGCGAGTACATTTTCGGTAAGTGAAATGACGTGTGCAGTTGCGACTGCTAGTCCGATCAGAATTAGAGTCCGAGAGCAATCGCATGTGATACAGGGCAGTGCTGCTACAAGGGCTCACATCTGACCACTGGACTACACTGGTCAAGACGCTCCCCCTCCTCTTAGGAAGTCTACATTTATAAAATCAGTCAAGTCTCGTGTTATTGTTCCGACAGCGTGAGGAAACTAAAGCAATTTACACAACGCGTTCGTCTCATGTTGTGCCCGGTGCAGGAGAAACGGCAGTCCCGCATTACGGGGCACGGCGAGGTTTAGCACGGGGCCCGTCACCAGGAGCACAACTCTCCACGAGCGCGCGTCGCCGCCGCCTCAGGAGGTGTTGGTGATGGGCTTGTACTTCTTGAGGCGCGTCCACTGGCCCGTGGCGTAGTTCATCTCAAACACGGTGTCCACCAGCATGGTGGTGCTGCCGGTGCCGTCGGCCTTGGGCAGCACCTCCGTGTGCTCGCTCAGCTTGATCTGGATGATGTCGCCCTGGTCGGGGCACGGGTTTTCTGCGCGCAAAAACACACGGGACGCCACGTGCCAGTGGTCACACACACGCGCGACCCTGCAGCGCGGACGCTAAATACATGCAATGACGATGCTTGTGAGTGTTGCCGCTGCGAGACGAGCGCGGCTGACTGGCACAAAGCTGCATTGAGAGTTGCTGCACAGAATGCAATCATTGGCAATGTTTTCACTCCGACTTGCCTGTTAAGTATTCCCCTTAATCGATGAGAACACATTTTCACTTCTTTTTGAATGAATTATCGATTATAACCCAGATTGAGCATTACCATGCACGTGACCGTGATTGCACCAAAATCTTTTCTTAATTGTGTAACAACAACAAAACACTTAAAATAATTACTTATTTTCAAGAGCATCCTGTCAAAGAAGTTTGGCCCCATACCTTGGTGACAACTTTGGTTAATTTGGGAATAGACTGGGACACTCAAAGAAAACTCACAAATACGTGGAAGAACTACGACTCCACACGATCAGTGAAGAAACTGGCTGCTGTACTGCCTTCTGAAGACACGCTTCTCTCTCTCTCTGTGCATGTTCTACCAGTGCCACCACGCCCCGCGATCATCCACTCCGAAACCCAGCACAAGCTGCACGTCTACAAATAATAAATCTTGAGCGAGGAATGCATTGGCGTGTGGATTTTGAGAGTGGGAGTGCCTGTAAGATATACTACTCTCTAGAATAGTGGTTTTTAACCATTACTGCAGCCTTGTACCCCTTTTGTTTTCAATCGTAAAAAAAAATGCACAATGTAAATAAATACATAGGTTTGATGAAACTAAGTAGTTGTACTTACGTGCCCGTGCTTAATTTGTTTCGATGATTTACCTTCTAAAAAAATCTTCCCATGTCCCGCACCCCCAGAAAAGGTCATCTCGCACTCCCAGGGGGTGCGTGCACCCCAGGTTAAAAACCACTGCTCTAGAGTAAGCCGGAGGTCCTAGAGAGCTGGGCTGACATTAAATGTGGCCTCCAAAAGGATGGAAGTTGCAATGTAGCGGCATGGAACCACGCATTGGTCATTGCGTCAAAAGTTTTGGTTATATTATAATATATTATCACTACAAAAGCTCTACCTCTGATAAGCAGTTGGCTATGTCTGGTGCGAAAGTTCAACATCAATACATTCACACTCGGCGTGAACCCAGGCAGGAGCACCACTCACCTCTGGATCCGGCCATGAATCCCAAGATCAAGGCCTTCTCTGGCCTTGTAACTTTGTTTGCAGTTTTAAACATCTCTTGCGCAGCATACATCTGTTCTCTCTGTAGCATAACACCAACAAAGACAGAGAATGAATACAAAACATGCAGAAGTATTCAGCATGTATACGACAGGAAAGAAAATATTGAGAACCTAGCCCAGGGGTCGGCAACCAAAATAACAAGAAGAGCCATTTCTTTCCAATTCGGTACAAAATTCAGTATTTCAAGAGCCGCAATGCATCTGAGTACATACTGTACATACGTACATATCGTCAAGAAGCAGCCCGTAAAGAGCCGCATGCGGCTCTGGAGCCGTAGGTTGCCGACCCCTGACCTAGCCGTACACATTTTTCAGCGATACCCCTAATCAGTCCCTCCGATACAGTGAGAAGCGTTTGACTCCAGTCGCACGGCCCCTGAAGCTTCGGGACAAGGAGAAGTGTTGGGCTGCCCTGCATGGCTCCAATCTGCTTTTCGGCAGTGGTGCAAACAAAGCCATGAGTAGAAAAGCTTGGCTACCTGGGGCCAGCGATCAACTTACATTAGTGTGATCACCGTGCAGGCTGGTGGCACCGACTCGCGACTACATTTATTTTTAAACGTTCGCGTACCAGTGACTGCGGGATTTATTGTGAAAGTAATTTCTGTGGTTTGTGAGCATGAATGGCGTGGAGGCTCTGGGCCGGGATGGTGTGTGGCCTGCGGGTGGGGGGACACAACGCCAAGGGCCAGACACGAGAGCCAGCGGACAGCGGCTGCCCATATCACTGCCGGCTAAGATAACTACTAATCAGACATTAATTACTACCGATTTAAAAGAATGGAATACATCTACCAATTGCAAATATATATCTTGTCCATTTTAATATTGTGATGGTTGTCTAAGAGTGTTTCGGAACACACCGATGTTGAGATGGGTCATCTACAAAGTCGCAGCCATAACCCCCGATTGTTATTCCTTGCTGAATGGGCGTGCCCACTAGGCCTGGGCATCTGCGTTTTACAACTATAAGTGGCGACTCCGTATCTTGCGAGTTCATCTCCGGCTATCTGGCTGAGTGTTAAGTCATCGAGGAATGCAGGAACCATAAGGCCTGGCTTTGAGACAAGTACTGAACAAAGCATAATAAATTATTCTGGGATGTTGAGGCCAAAATTCCCATTTAAACTGCACTGCGTAGCACACAAGTCGGCTTTTTGCTCTCGCAAAGCTCCGAGTGCTCTGCTCGTAAACAAAAAGACTGTGTCGCTACTCTGCAGAATGGCGTAGCCCATGAGCAGAACTGCCTACAAGTAAACGTTGTCTGATGCAATACGAGAGTTTATACATCTCACCGTCTAAAGTGTATGTTTCTATGCATGCTTTGACCCAAACCGCTCACTACTTTAAACGTGTATGATTGTTAACGCACAGGCCTCGAGGCCCTCCCCTCGCACATGTGTCGAGCTGGTAGTTGTGCACAACTCCGGCCTCCAACCCAATACACGTTAAGCCACTGATTGAGCGCACTCAAGAGCAGTTATGCTCATTGAGTTATGATGAACTGCAGCACTGCTAATGGCATACTTACTAAAGAGTGTGCCTTATTAATGTGCATGCTCATTTTATTCGGGATAAGGTGAAGGGTGCATGTTTAACGGAGTGTGACAAAGGCATTTCCGTGCGTGACACCGGGAGGAACACAGAGAGGCACTGTGATCTGGAGAGACGCACGACAGCCGTTCATCAGCACAGGTGGGGCCGTAGCGGCCAGCTGCAGCCTTACCGGGTGATTGTGGACCTCGTGTGGCTGAGATAGAGACTTAGGCATCACTTGCTTGTGCAAGTAAGATATATTCGCATTAAGAGATAGGAGATCTGGCCTTGCGGGTAGGTCTGCTATACCTAGATCACCACATCATACCTTTCAGTTAATAATCTCACTTCAGGACATGTAGGAGCCTTGCAGACTCAACTTCATACAAACTCGGACACCTAAATGTTGCCTATACGGCGTGTATGTGGAGCGTGTTATGTCGATCGAGTGGGTTTTTCTTTTATCTTCTTGTAACAAGTGGTGCTAAATATTATTGATACAATGCTTAAAACTATGAGGTTATTAAAATACCAAGATGTCTTGGATGCTGCGGTGGTCTTTTATGAGTCCATGTAGTGTCCCTCAATTGTCTTAGTCTGTATCCTGCTCGTGAGAACTTTGGGGCGAGATCTTTAATTGTGAAAATGATTAAATCTAATATGATTTAATGAAGAGCAACCTCTGCAAAACTGGTCAGATATAAATTCAAGACCGCTTTCTTCCAAAGTCGACGAGAACCACTGTACGTGCCGCCATCGATTACGATCGCCGCCCAACACTCGCCAGACCAGGGAAACGCTCTGCCCGGACTCGGGAATGCACCTCCGAGTCGGCCACTCACCGTGAGCGAGAGGTTCTTCTTAGGCTGGCTCTGCTGCGTCTGCTGCGTCTGCTGCTGCTGAGCGACGGTGGCGGCGGTGGCGGCAGGAGGCTGTGGAACGGGCACGGGCTGCTGCTGGCTAGCCGGGGCCTGCGCGAGGGTGGGGGTGGTGGGCTGCGGCGTGGTGGGGCTCGGGGAAGCGGCGGGGGCGGTCGCGGAGGAGGGCAGGGCACTGCTGTAGAGAGGCGCCTGCTGCTTGAACGGGTTCTGCACCATGGGGACGGTCGGGGAGCTGGGGGGCTCCTCGGGGGTGCGGTTCGACTGCAGGGCGTCGCGGATGGCCGCTGCCCCACTGGCGCCTGTGAGCCGCAACATACACGCCGAGCGGTGCTTCCATGCGGACCTTCACCACGATATACAGTCGGGCAGTTTCGCTATTGCTGGTATGAGCGAGCATGCAAGTTTACTGCCGCTTTTAAGTATGATTTTAAGAAGAAAATGTGTCCATTGACAATGATGGAGCAAAATGTCCAGGTTTGTGTGTTCGGGCTGTTTGGTCAAGATGTCAATCCAGCCTGAGATTATGTATAATGCTGAGGTTCACATTACATTCCACAAACAAGGATGCATTGAATTCATCTGGGTGGCAATTCACTGCAGCCATTAACAGGGTGGATAGGCCTAACGCGTGTAATTTGCATAGCATGTTTTTAATCGATAATATCTCCGATGGAACGGACCAGGGAAATCGCAACAGAAGCAATCTTTGCATGCAGCTGTGCGACAGGGTGGGGGCGGGGGGCGAGTTTCTCTCACCAGAGGGGGCGTCTGTGCTGGGGTTGTAGGACGAGGAAGGGATCATGCTGGGTGTGGCCGGCAGGTAGCTGGTGGAAGGCATCGAGCTGTCATTGCTCAGTGCTCCCAGTTTCTGCAAGACAGAGGGGCGGTAGGCGTCACCTTTCGCGCTGCTACGTTACTCAACAACAGAGGAGGCAGTTCACACACGGGCAGACGTTGCATCACACATTGCACTTGCATAAACAACCCTTTGCTTTTATTGCCATTTTAATCATTTTTTATACTCATAACCCTTCAAGTCAAGTGGCCACAGCATGCGAGTTGGGTTGTAGTTGCGAGTCGTGTATGTGGTTAGCGAGTATGGTGCGAGTGTGTATGGTGTTAGTGAGTGGGGTGTAGTGAG